ACTCTACGCTAAGAAATATATATACCCAGTTGTGGATCGAAATAGGCCAATCAGAAACACGAGCACATGACTGTAAAGGTTGACCAATCAGTGCCGCTTGCCTATTAGAATGTTACCAATGGAATCCTAAGGTGAAAACGAACTCCTTTTGTCTACACAGTAGCGGTTTTTTCGTGCTTATGTAGATAGATTCTAAAACTGCTAGGTGGAACGACGATCGGGCTTTACCAATAATCCGAAACATGTCGCCATTATAGTTTTTTGCACAATCTGGGTTTTCTTGCCAATACTGCCCGATAGCAGAATCGCAGGTTTTATTAGTAATTTTGGATTTGCAAGACCGAGGTCCCCAAAGAGAATTTGCAAGACCGAGGTCCCCAAAGAGAACAGCCACCTCGGTCTTGCAAATCCAAAATTACTAATAAAACCTGCGATTCTGCTATCGGGCAGCATTTGCTAGAAAACCCAGATTGTGCAAAAAACTTTAATGGCGACATGTTTCGGATTATTGGTAAAGCCCGATCGTCGTTCCACCTAGCAGTTTTAAAATCTATCTACATAAGCACGAAAAAACCGCTACTGTGTAGACAAAAGGAGTTCGTTTTCACCTTAGGATTCCATTGGTAGCATTCTAATAGGCAAGCGGCACTGATTGGTCAACCTTTACAGCCATGTGCTCGTGTTTGCGATTGGCCTATTTCGATCCACAACTGGGTATATATATTTCTTAGCGTAGAGTTTTCGATCTATGTTCTGACGTTTTAAACTCTGAAGAGTGTCAGACGAAAAGCTTTAGTTTACTAAATGTTTGCTTTTTTCAAAGCTATTTACAAGTTTTGTACCACCAAAAGATTGTTTATCTATAAAGAGTTAGTATGAAATAAAAATATATGATACAATATTAAAAAGGTTTAAGGTATAATGTTCTAAATAAAACCTAACCCAGCAATAAATTGTTTACACAATCTACAGTCGCATTCTATAGGGTGTACTCTTAATTCTTTTTTAAATGTTGCCAATGATTAGGTATCTTTGATGCTACAGAATTAATTTCAATTTTTACGATATCTATACTCAATATTGATTCAAGTTCATATCATTTTTTAATGGAATTATCAATTTTGAAATATCTGTGACATGCTTTGTTAACGGGATTATTTCTCCCAAAGGACTTTAACCAAAGAAATAATAGATGGCATGGGAATTCAGCCAATGAAGGATTTTCAAGACCCCTATCTTGAACGGTAATTATGGTGTTGCACTTAAGAATTTCTTGTATAATATTACGTGAAGCTTTGCTTTTTTTGTAAGGGTCACTCTTTTTGAAGGTCGTATATGATATATACTCGTTAGAATGTATGGTAACTAGGTTGTCTAGAATTTTTAACAAATACACATGAATTCCAGTCTACCCGTCTTAAAGACTACCAGTATGTGCTATAAACAAGGTATACTACCATTGATACAATAATTTATCTGTATAATTTCTTTTCTTGAGTATTTTAGAGCAGTGGCACGCTTTTTGTATCGTTTCAACCTTTCGTGAGAGGCCCCATTTTATTGATGAAAAGGGACCGACAACGAGGCAATTGACGTCATCGTCGCACAACTTCCTCCTCTGGTCTTAACTTAACGTAACTATCCAACAAAGGCATTCATATTGGTATTATTCTAAGCTATTCATAACGTGTCAGATTTGAGACGGCATTTCTCATTTATAGGAAAGAGAATACGTAAAACAAGATGTCATTTACGATCACAGCTTTCCTCTTTTTATTTCAAGCTAGAGTTTTTTGCACCCCTGAATTCCCCTAAAAAGTCACATTTCTTAGAAATTCTGTTAAATACTCATACCGAGTACAGGTATCGGGTTGTGCCACGATGCCTTGTTGTTTTCAGTTGCCAGCTTTTGTAATTCTTCTCTTTGTTTAGAGTTGTTCCTATTTCATGAATGTTAAATTGCTGTTGTAAGTCTGAACAACGTAACGTAGCTTTAATATTCAAGTAAAGACAGGAGGCACTTGCAAAAATTACAATCCCGTGCACTTTCTTATTTTTCAAGGCCTATAACTATGGGTGAAGTTGGCTGTTTTCTGAGTCATTGGAATATATGGAAGGAGGTAAATACATTACAAACTCTTGCGCAACCGGCATGCTTAGCGACCGGCATGCTATCTTGAGAAATTTATTGTGCCGGTTGCGCAAGAGCCTTTAATCTCAGTTTCCTTTCATAATACTATTGCTTGTGCTAGAAAAAAATTGCTAAATGAACGCTTTACTAGATAATAAGGCTTTGGCAGTAGTTGTTCCGTTTCGAAACCCTATAAACTGGTGTCTCTCCGAAAACAAAAGAAGTGTTCTGCTTATGTTCTAGTGCAAATAGGTTCTAAAGTTTGATCAGCTTTGTGACAAAACAAACCCGATACGTATTATTTTGATCGCCTCCGAAATGTGAAGATGAATCCGATAAGTCGCAGATAGCCGTACAGCTTTCAACTATCTTTGAACTTCAAGATCTATATAAGCTCTTACCTGACAGCCTTACCTGAGAACCCAAGTCGTAGATCCATAGTACATTATGCTGTATATAAACTGGACCTATGAAAGGTTTAGTAACTATTTCTTAGTAGGCTCTTCACTTAAGATTTTCCCAATTTCGTGCTTACCAAACTATATTTTTAGAACCAGGAAACTGACAACTCAGGTGACAAACCATGATTTATAAGCCTATCTTTCTCGAGCATTGCATGTTGTAAAGATATGATCCTCAAATATTACACAGACAATCGCAGGTTGGCCAAAGAAGGCTTCTTTACACAATGCTTTCGTTTCTTTGTCAAATGATTCTAAAGAAAAACAATGAAAATAGAGCTGAGTCCTTGCGATTCGTAGATCGTGGCGAACAAACTGGAATATGTGCTGGTTCTGGAGGACGATGTCCGTTTTGAGCCTGACTTTGTTCGCAAAATGAGGGAGGTTCTGCAAGAAGCAAAGGACTTACTATGGGACGAGAAGTGGGATTTAATGTAAGTATAAGGAGTATATTTCATGATTTAATTTCATTATCTTTTAGTTTATTCAGTTTATATACTGAAAAAGTTAAGTAGAAGTCAAATATACAGCTGTATCATTTAAGTACTGAAATTCAACAAATTTTGCTTTAGTAGAACAACATCTATAGCTTCATTTAACAACATAGCAATATGAATTTGGTGAATTTTCTTCGAAACTTTCAAGTCAAGCCTTATATCTTCGTCATATGGTTTGGCGATCTCTCTTGTTTGTTAATGTGTTGATACGCAGCTATTTTTGCAGATACGTTGGGCGAAAACGAATGTCTCTAACTGCAGAAGAAAGGATGGCTGGGACGAAAAACCTAGTATGGGCTAGATATTCTTATTGGACATTGGCTTACATAATGCGATTGTCTGGCGCGCAAAAGTTGATTGCCGGTGAACCGCTGAAGCAACTGATACCGGTTGATGAATATATACCGATCATGTTTAATGATCACAACGAGTAAGTCCTTTTTCTGGAGCAAAATCCCGCCACGTGTTAATTGGTTCTTTTCATTGCAGACGATCAAACGATCATTCGCCGTTAACTAAGTATCACAGTGCCGAAAGAAAGATGCCGGTGGAATGTTATCACGATTTACAAAGTCATCTAATATGACGCTGTTTTAGATATTTTATTTTTTCTTCTTCTCCCTTTAACTTCAAACTGACCACTTAATTTTAGCTACCTTTAGAAACTGTTCACGTCAGCACCCGGGTAAGAATTCTGGAACATATTTTCAAATATGATCAACCTCTCTCCCATCTTGCAATTCATACTCCGTTCAACGTTCGGCTGCAGTAAGGTACACTTTGGACCACGTAAGCTGAACCATCGTTATAAAATACTACTAAATGTGAACAATTTCAAGTTTGCCAAAGGGTTACCGTTTTTATGGTTTACGACGTTATTGTAGTGACTTGATGGAGAAAGATCAAGGGCCCATACTGGCCTGGCCATAAGACTTTCGCCAGGAGAGCAGTAAACAGCTCTCCTAGTAATTTCCAGGCTAACGTTTTGTAAATGAAAATGAATAGAAACAAAGAAAAGTTTGTGTGAGAAGGAAGAACCGCAGGATAGGCTGTCCCCTGGATTCTGTGAGTCTTGCGATGAGTATAATATAAATACGAGGATAAAATTCAGGAACAAAGCAAAACAGCAACGAGAATTCAATGTTATGAGATAAATTTTCAAAATAAATTAGATTAAACGAATACTAATATTTTAAAATGTATTCAGGGCTTCATCAGAGTAAATTAAACGAACGAGTGAATGAATTTGAAATGTGAGATGGTGATGCCGGATTGATGGATGTTGAATGGTGTGAATGCAGCTCGGTGGAGAAAAAATGGGATGATGGAAGTTTGAGAGGGTGGTGGGTGAGTTGTGGATGAAATGTGGATGGTGCTGTAGAGATTGGTGTAATGGGATGATAATGACGACAATGAATATGAATATAAAAAAACAAAAATAATAATAATGATAATTGTGATGGAACTAAGAATAATGGAATGTTGATGATAGTAATGGTGGTGATGATGATTATAATGGTACGGAAAATATGGTGTGGGTTGTGAGGGCGGCGTGATGGGTGATAAGTTGTTTTGTAAAGTTAACGGTCGGTAGTTCTGCTCATGCCGTTGGGGGTGAGGGTGTTCGCTAGGCCAATGAGATCTCGCTCTTTAGCTCGACGAACACTCTCTCGTTTGTCATTAATAAGTCTGAGTAACGGTGTAATGGCAAGGTCGTTGATGGTGTGTGCTGGGCTGCAGAAATGTTCTGCAACTCCAGACAGGTCCATTTTTTATTGATAATGTCTCGTCGGTGTTCGTTAAATCTGTCTTCAAGTCGTCTGCTGGTTTGTCTGATGTACTGGCAGTTTTTGTTTCCGTTATGTATACAGCGTTTGCATTATAATGCGTATATGACGTTGGTGGAGTTGCAGTCCAGCCGTTGTTTTATGTCGTAGTTTATGTCAGTGTTAGAAAAGTTAAAAGTTAAATGTTGTTGTCTGTGATATGTTGGCATGTTAAACAGTTACGTCGCGAGTAGCATTTGTAAGAACCTTTGGGATCACTGGGTGTGGCACATTTTATTTTGGCACGAACCAGTAAATCCCGGAGGTTTTTCGGTCTGCGGTAACTAAGTACGGGTGCATCAGGGAAGGCTTCTTTGCATGTGTTAGAGTTCTGTAGTATGTCAAGTTTTTGTTTCAGTACGGTGGATAGTTGTGGCAAAGCTGGGTGGTAGGTGACAACAAATGGCGGGGGATGATTCGTGCGTGCTTTGGTGGTCTTGGGGCAGTCTTGTCTGGTTTTTTGGGAAGCCTTCTGTATTTGTTTGTTTGTCTGTTTGGGTTTGTAACCCCGTTTTGTCAAGTATTCCAGTAGTTGTCTCGTGCGATATTTGAACGTTTCGTCTTCGGAGCAGATCCGTCGTAGTCGTAGGGCAAGACTGTATGGAATGGATTGTTTGTTTTGTTTGGGGTGTGCGGAGGTGCTGAGGAGAGATTGGTGTGTATCCGTGGGTTTAACATAGAGATCTGTGGAGAGGGTATTATCATTATTGGTGGAAATGGTGACGTCAAGAAAATTTATGGTTTCTGGAGCATGTTTGTTATTTGGGTGACAGGTAGGTAAATGTTTCTTCGTTAATGTGATTGTCGTTTTTCATCAGTCGTTAGTAATTGGTCACTTTTCTCGTAACTTTGTTGGTTGTATCTTTGTCTTGTTTTATGTAAAAAGTCTTGTCGCTCAGTTGTCTGTTGCATTCGTTTATGTAAAACTGTGTGTCAATGACTACGACTCCTGATTCCTTTTCGGCGGGTTGACGACGATGTCCGTGTGTCTGATGAGGTTTTTCAGTACGTTCCGTTCCGTGTTAGAGAGGTTATCTGTTATTTTAGTCGGCTGTATGTTTTTAAGGTCGTCGTCGATTTTGTTGATAAATGTGTCTAATGCCGGGTCTAAGCCTCGTGGGGATGTCCAGTTGCTTTTCTTTTTGTATGCAGTGGTCATATTGTTATCAGAAGAGTTTCTGTGTTCTATGTCTTAATTTTTGTCTTTGTCGTTGTTGTGGAGGTAATGTTTTAGTCGTAGTCTGCGTTTGAATTCAGTGAGATCTGCGTTAAGTTTGTTCCAGTCTGTTTTGTGGGATGGGGCAAAGGTTGAGTCCTCTTGACAGTAATGTCTTTTCATCATTTGGTAAGGGGAGAGTCGAGAGGTTTAAAACAGTGTTGGTTTTAAGTTGTTGTGTCTTTTGGTTTGAACGTGTTTTTTTCTTGGCTCGTCTCGTAAATGGTGGTGATGTAAGTGGTAAGTGGGATGATAAGAATGGTGATGTAAATGGGGGTGAAGGTGATAATGATGGTAAAGTGGGAGTGAAGGTGACAATGATGGGGGTGGTGGTGGTGGTGAAAGTGATGTTGATGATGCTGAATTAGATAATGATGCTGGAAATGGCGGGGTATGAGAATGAGACTATGGCATTGTAGGTTTGTATCTTAGATAAATATTAGATGGTGACTGTGATGAGATGTGTGGTGTGGGTTGTGAGGTACGGAAAATCTTTTTAGTATTAGAAGAGTTAATTTGAATGTGAGGCTGTGTGTCGATGACGTACTTGGTTGGGGGGTGACTGGGTCGAATTAATTCGATGGTGTTTGTGTGTTTAAAATAAATGAAGGTTTGGTCATAATGGCTATGGTGACTGTCGGGGTGGCTGGTTTGGTGTAGTTAAACATATGAGTGACCTAAATTAACATTGTGCAATGATTTGTGTGTACTAAACATCATAGAATAAAAGGTAAATTAAATTGTAGTTGTAGATCTCTTTTAATTTTACTAGAACGTCTGTGGAATAGTTTTTTATTTAAATTATGATATGAGTAACCAATACTATCGCGTAAATTTTTAAGTAAGGTGTTATTGCAACATGATAAAGTTAAAACCATGAGAAAGAAAAGTTTGATTTCAAGGCGAGCAATTTGCTATTCAAAGCAATTTCAGAGAGCAATCTGTAGCTCCTCTCCTGCATTTAAAGAGAGCCTTGAGGAGGGTAAGAGCTATGGCTCTCCTCAAACGCCCAGACCTGCTCATAGTGCTATCTCAGCTAATTTGTAACTTATCAAATGATTTTGCATATAAAGAGATATGTCTTGACGCCTTTTCAAATTATGTGGGTAAAATTGGAAAATTCTAAAATGTATTTTGTGACGTCATCGTTTTAGAAGTATATTGAATCGCTCTAGCATTTAAAGCGTTCTAGATAGTTTCTTTGTCGATCCTCTCATTCAATCATTTAACTCTTGAGTAAACATCGGACACGAGCATTTTTTATCCATTTACACTTTATTGCAGCAAAGAGTTAATGAGCAAATTTCCGGTAAGAAACCTGGTAGCTTTGTCTGTTCACCCGCTTTTGGTCTACCCAACGCATTATGTGGGTGACAGTGGCTATGTTAGTGACACTGAAGATACAGTGACAGTTTTCAAAGAAAATGCAACAGCAAATAACGCGACAGATAACACAACAGCAGAAGTAAACAATGAAAAGGAAGGGAGCATAGCAGAAAGGAGGTTCGAGCAACGTAGGACGACGTCACAACTGCAAGGCGATCTTTAGTTCTGGTAATCGAACTCTTTCGTGTTTAGTAAATGAAATGTATTTTTCTAATCTGTATAGTTGAACTCTTTTATAGATTAATTGTGTTGACTGTTTTCACCTTTTCTAGAATTTTTAGATTTTATCTATTTATACTAGCATGTAGCTCAGTAATTTCCCCCATTAAAGAAACTGAATTAACTAAACGTGAGCCCTACTAAAGTATTTTGATTTTGATGTTGAATCTTCTACGAAAATATGCATCGAAAACCGGAATTTGTTTTAAGAGGAAATTAATCGTGGAAAATACCGCCTTCAGATCAGAGTGTTTCCCTATCTTCGTCAATAAAAATTACATATTTACTCAAATTCGTTTAGGCATGCCTGCTAAAAACACCCGATGATCCATCATTTCAAGTTTTTCTAAAATTGAAAATATATGAGATTTGAAATTTTTCTTTGAAAATCTTGACAGCTATGTTGCTAGTCTTAATATTGCTACCAAAGGATCAGTGTTAAATTGCCCCTTCTTAATGTTATTTTTTCATTATTATTATTATTATTATTATCGAGATATGTAATATTTTAACGGCTCTTTAGTTACGAAATGGCGAACGAGCTATGCCAGTTCCAGGAAAAAATTTATTCTGCTTTGAAAATGCTCTTTCTTAAAGGCATGTGCTATTTCTGTAAGCCGGGAAAGTTTCAAGGCCCCACTCCTCGAGAAATATTTTTCTATATAAAGTATTCATCTGGATATTCTTAGAAAAATAATTCCTGACAGTAGCAATCCTTAAAAAATGGATTAAATTAAGGCATTTAGAGCATCACCTTGTTTCAATGTCAAAAAAGTGTGTGAATACAAGATTTATATTAGAATTGTTATCAAAGGTTTCCATAAATAATTCTTTCTTCTGCATAGTTGAGATCTTAGAAATATTATCTTATAAGAAATGCCATTTTTGCCAGCACACCGTACGTACTGTCGATCTCTTCAACTAGCTCTTCCCCCAACCCCATGCACGCAGTGCAGGTCCTCCCTAATCGCCACACAGTTCTCAATAAAATAACCAAAATAGGATCAATGTGATTTGATTTTGTTACAGAATATCACAGATATTCTCGAGCTATTGGAGAATTTGGAGAATGTTGAAGGGGCTGCTTCAATAGATTGTTTTGAGACGTTAACGGAAAAGTGTGTGGTAGTTAAAGAAATGAGTTTATGCTACTGGTAGTGTAGCACATATGAATATTAGATATGAAAGCGGTCTAGCCCGGACAAAAGTAATATAAAGCTGAAATCTGGCACAGATGTTCTATACTAAGTTGGAAATGACCAGGAAAAAATCCCCATCAACTGGACATTGGGAATTCCTTATTTGGGCAAATCCCATAATGGCGCACTGATAAGCAGGTGTTCAAAATTTAATGTCGCTAAAACGACATAGTATGTACACCTTTTGAAAGAAAATTTCATGCTGAACAACTTTTATTTAACATACATACACTTGGAATGTGCAAATAAGTGGCAAAAACAAAGTGGGACGAGTGAATATTGAAAAGCGAGTGAAAAATATGATGATCCTCTTGCTGACTATTTTCATTTAAATTCGCAACTCATATCGATACAAAATCATTTAGTGTGCAAATGAGATAAAATATGGTAATATTCTTGGTTTTGCCATGAGTGAAGTTTCATCTGTAGCAGGGGAGGTTTGACCAGAGATAGTAGATTCAAGGAATATGAATATGCCACATTGCTAAATACGATGATGGATTTTTATCATAAATCTTTTCAAAAAATGTGTGGTCCCGCTTTCTGTAGGGGCCTTGGGCACAGAGTGAAGTGTGCCTTGTGATTGATTAGGCACCAGTGGTGTAGTGGAGGGGTATCGCGAAATAACGCCGTTATCCTTCCTAAAACTTTGGGCTGCAGCATTAAACTATCTACTAAAATGAATATTGGCATTCTGCTTCTTACATATTAGCAAAATTCTAGATACCAAGCAATTTTTGATAAGACTTTCAATGCTAGTCTTATATGAGGTTCAATCGACAATTAAATTGCTGCAAGTCATATGAAGAAATCGCTACTAAAATCTTGACATGTGCATTTGTAGGTTGGGAATACGTAGTTCAAGTCCTCTCGTTCCTGTTTCCACGTAATCAAAAACAGAAATAGTGTTTATATTTTTAAATATCTGTAGGGTAGGATGTTCATATTTCTATAAATGGGTTCAAATCTCTGATTTAGTTAAACTTTGCGTCATAAGTTTTACGACTAAAATATTGTGAGGAACCGGTATAAGATACTCTACTGTGGTGCAAAGAGAAGGCTTGGTGGACTGCAGGGTTTTCAACGTTTTTCATTGACATCCTCCATCTTAGTAATCTTTGCTACTAAGACATCAACAACAGACGTCAAAAGGCTTCATAAAACTACAGCTTGATGCTGGGACAGTGACATTACCTCTATGCCCTTTTCTACCAGAAAAAGGGGTAACTTTCAAATTAAGTATAATCTCGAAGATTGCAAACTTTTACAATTGAGAAGCGCGCACATGAAGAAGAGGGTGTTTTGAGTGTACCAGGACCTAAAAAAACCCGGAATATAGTTAGAAAAAACGGAAAACCCGGACTTAGAATTTTGAAAATTTGGTTCTTTATGCCGTTCTTTCAGATAATTATGTCAAAATTGAGAAATTCTAAAAATTGGCTTTTGATGACGTCACACTTTGGTACTCTATTGAAACTGCTGAACGTTAGAAAGAAACAATTGGGGAGATTATAAAGAGGCAGTAGAAGCATCAGTTTAGCCCAAAGAGAACTCAGATTTTTTGGATGTAGAGGGCGAAAGAGAAGAAAGTGAAGATGAACTGGGTGTCTTATTTGTTGATTACAAAGGAGAACAAGAAATGAATACTGACATGTATTTGATGTATAATAGCTTTAAAATAACATCAAGGAAAATCATTTTTGCTATATAGATATCGGTGTAAAACGAGATTTTTCTGGCGTTGGAAAATGTCGGTAAGAACAAATTTCGGTGGGTTTGTTCGGTTGCCCTGCTTGACCGAAAATAAATTCCTCCGAAATTGTTTGTGTTCATTTCATTCTCTATTGGGTGACACTAAAGGTCACAGCATGTTATTTGGAGTAGAGGCCATGCAGCCAAGGATCATGCAACGCAAAGAAAACGGTGAAGAATTTTTGATTCGCCACAGGTCAGTCATTGACGAATGAAGATGTGCACAAAGTTGACCAGTGGTGTAGTCGTAAATTCTTAGGAAGTATAACGCGAAAGGTAAAAAACAAATACAACGTTACATTTGTTCTTTTTAAAAAAATAGAATTATGTGCTGTTTAATACATTACTAGTGCATTGAACATTCAACTGCTTGCGTTATACTTCATGCATCTCATCTTGGTGATATATGCGTTGTTCTGCAGATTATTATCTCGTCCCTTTTTAAGTCTTTCGCATCCACTTTATTGAAATTGGTATCCACTCAGTGATCTTCCTTGTCCATTTTTCGTTTCCATCTGGGCGATATGGCTTGCCTATTTGCCACTCCTTTTTCAGAGTTTTCTAAAAAACATTTGGTTTGCAATCTTAACTTTCATTTGTCCATTTGTCCACTTGTTCAGGCAACTTGATGCCAGTGTCTATGTTTTAACACCATATGATGTTGCTAGTGGAATGGCTCCATCTATTCCTTTTTTCTTAAAATTTAAAGCATTAACTTTTTCTTATCCTGTAGCAATTCTTCTGTCAATTTTCTTATTTGTTTCGTTTTCGAATATCACTTAGGTAGCCTTATTCATTTATGGCCAAGATTAAGGCAAGAACATATGACCTTACTATAACCCCTTACTGCAACTCAACGACAAACAGGAGAGTGTTCGACGAGCCAAAAAGCAATAACTCATTGGCTTGGTAAACACTCTCACACCGAGCGGCATGAACAGAACCATTTACCGTTAACCTTACAGCAACAAACCATTAACACCTACATCGTCACTTTTTTCTACCCCAAAACATTACAATTGTTTACCACCCTTGTCATTATCATTATTTTATAGCATAGTGCTTCATCCTTATTACATTTTATTCCACCACCACCACCACCCATGCTCTCTCATTCGCCACCCTCCCCTCCTCCACCGCTGTGCTGCATTCACACCATTACCATCCCATAAACCCAATCCGGCACCACCGTGGCCTCTTTTGAATGTGTACATTTTTAGTCCGTTTACTTTTGCTCTGGTTAAGCCCCGTATGCTGGAGCAAAATATTAGCCTGAGGGGCGTCACGACCGGGGGGTGTGGGGGGTGCCAAAATTCGAAAATTTTCCGTTCCTTCGGCGGCAACATGGTGCCGCCTCGGGTAGTAACTATATCCTTTGCCCTTTCCGATATAGAGATTTGACAAAACTCAGAAGTCCAGAAAAGTTGTTAACCTTCCTCCAGACAAAAAGGCAAACCTTCCTCACAAGAAAATAGAAAGTGCCCGTGGCTTTGGGGTGTCATAGAGGCTTCTTTTGTTTTTCGTGGACCTTCTCCGGCAGCAACTAAAGAATTTCAGGCAACAATATTTTAATCAGTTAAATTTGAAGTCCACCCCCCCCTAAAACAATTGTAACAGGGGTTAGACTTCCTCTAAAACCCTTGTCACTTCGAGTAGCCAACGAATTGAGAGTGAAGACAAAAAGCGAGCGACTCGTATTGAGATTAATCACTGACTGACGAAAGCGAGGTTAGCATAAAAATTATGTATGATAATGAACGACATGAATTCCTACTACAAAAGGCTTGCCTCCGACGGCCCTGATTAGCCTTTCCTGATTTACGTGTATTTGTTCAGGGGCGGATCTAGAAATTATTCTGAGGGGTGCTAAAACGCAAGGCTTGGTAACCAAGGGTGTTGCTATGCACAAACTCCGTACACCCCCTGCTAATAAGCCATAATGAAATGAAAGTCTTCCATAAACTAAAAAGCCTGGATGCCTTGATTTATATAGTAATTTTTTGCTACACTTTGATCAGAACTTGGAACGTTGGCTTCAGCTTTTATGCCAATTGAACGCAATTTACAGCTCGCCCCCCTCATATTCACTTAGGGTACAAAAGTATAGAAACTGTAGTCAAATATTATATCATGGCCCGCAGTGGCAAAAGGCCCGAGCCCACAAATTTCCAAAGCAAAATTTAATTTTTGACTCTTTGCAGCCATTTATTAGAACTTGATCAGCTTGATCTGTTTACGTCAAAACTGAAAAATTAAAAGAGCGGCTTTTATGACGCCAATCTTTGGGACTGTATTGAAGAATATTTTTTGTGGTGGTATGCAATCATATTTTACATTAGAAAAGGATTCTTCTCATTTCTCAAGGCATTCAACTGCTACCAAAAATTGCTAATTATCAGTAGACTGTAATTTTCGGGCATGCAATACAAACACTCGCTTTTCTACATTTAAAAATATCGTAAAAGAATGAATCATTATAATTATTTTAAATCATAAACTGTTCTGTTTAATCCGTAATTCTTTTGGGAGATTTCGCATTCAGAAAGGTAGGAATTGAGGAAAAAAAATTGTCAGTTGAATTCATTGTCAGTTTGCATAGGCCCGGGGGGGGGTTACACCCACTATTGCCTAACAGGGGGTCCAGTCAGGGTCAATGAGGGCCAAAGCTATAATGTTGAAAAATTACCCTCAAATGGTAGTGTTTAGACAATAACCCTCAAATGGAAGCCTAAGGACCGAAATTATGTCATTGGTAGCATCCATTTCTTTGCACGCGCCTGGTCCTTCTTTGACAACTTTCTTTACCATTGACTATTGTTGATTCGGTAAGATGCTGTTGTTTATTGTCTAAAATATATCGCAAGCTAAACTAAGCCGTTGTGTCATTATCGAAACTGGGCCATTTGGTAGCCATTTGGCAAGTCCCTCAAATCGTCTGGACCATGGGAGTACCTCTCTGGGGGCATATGTCCCTACACCACCTGGAACGATCAGGATGTCTGCCTCGTATTGAAACTTTTGTTATTTCTTGGAAAACAATTTCGAAGGAACTTCGGCAGCAGAAGAACTGCCAACATAGTCAAGATGGTGGAGCCAAAGCTACAAAAATTGCTGGAAACTTTCAAGCCTGAAATTATAAAATACACTACTTCAGCCATCATTGAACAGGTTTTGGGTAAACTAACGCAAGAGCAAATTGCACAAGATGACGTTAAGAGAATTAAGGGCAATGCTAAGCTTCTGGGAGCAGCCTGGGGAGCATATAAGCTTCTGGATTGTTTGAAGTCTTCAGATGAAGCTGCTTTCACAACACTGTTAGAATCGCTTAAAAAGAACAAGTCAGCAGAGGAAATTTACAAGAAACTTCGCAGCGAGTGTATGAAAGAGGGCTTGCAATACGTCCTGCCAGCCAGTTGTTTTGATGAAGATGACGATGATTTTGACTCGAATGATGAGGAAGGTCGGTGATTAATATTATTATATCTTTGCTGTTTTTTAAATGCATTCAGTATCGAATAGACTTACGGGTTTTCAACGAATTTTTCGTCATTTGCCATTTACGCAGTTTTCAAGTTGTTTCTTTTATCATAGGAGATTTGCGGATTGTATATAGGCCTGACGATTCAGACAATTCGCTCTGACGATTCGCACACAAACTACCCTCCAGTTTTCCTTTAATAACTTTTGGCTAACTAAATCTATAGGACTGATTAAATTTTTAAATATCACAAATACCATAGTCTTACTGTTTTTTATATGTTCACAGTTAAATAAAAAGCCCAGGTAATATGAAAATCTGCGAAACTTAGACAAAAATGTGCGATTTGTGAAAACAGCCCTCCTGTTTTCCATTGATAACTTTTCGCAGAAACATGGTAAAAACCATTTATAATTCAATCGATTGAGAATATTCTGCTACACTTTTCTAGTTTGCAAGAGAAAAAAAGTGCTTCAAGAACATTTTCAGCTCCCCCAGGGGCGGATCCAGACATTCGCAACATTCGCACTGGCGAATGTCAGATTTCCACATGTCTTTTTGTAATTGTCTGTTAATACATTTTAGCATTGTGAATATTGTACTAGAAATGGCCAGTTAATAAAAAAAAGGTCCATAGAATACAAGAAATAAAAGTTTTGTTTCCTGCCCTAGTTGCTATGATGTCACCTTGTTGTTTACTTTTTAGGTTTTATTCCCTCGTTTTCGTGATTAAGAGATGATATATTCGAAAAAGGGCTCTCCCTTTTACGCATAAATTCACAGAGCATCAATAAGGTTTGATGCGAATGTCGAATGGAATTATAATATATTAGGCATGCGTGCGCAAACGAAGTAGTACTGAAAAATGTATGCCAAAAATTTGTGCGAATGTCAGTCCAGCTATGTTATTTAGCCATCTGAAAACCAATAGGAAATGTATATGGGAAATTTTTTTGCGAATGTGGCGAAGGTAGATGCAAACTATGTTCGGTAGCCAGTCGAGGGAGAGAACCTTGGAAAGTGAGCAGATTGAAACCTCGCTTCCACATCAACGGCCATGATTGTTGTTGGAAAGCTGTGGGGAGATTTGCTTGCAGAAGAGCAGCAATTGTACTTCAGAGTGAGTGAAAGGAGTCAAATATAAGATGATTTTTAATTTGAATCAGCGGATTTCTTATGAAGATGTTCAAAGTTTGTCGAAGATTTTGGTTGATGGATGGAATTTGATAGATGGCAATATGCGAGGACAGTTCAGTTGGACCTAAAATTGTTGAGCCAAAATTTTGCCTATGTTTTCATTTTCATGATGGAGGACGTTATTTAGACAGAGATTCAGACTCAAATAATATTTTGAAGAATACGTGATGCTTTTTAAGGTAAATAGCCATTTTTATGCAGGCTGTCAATCAGAACTTTTAGGGTTCAAGTCAGGTATATCTTGATAATGATGATGTAGCATTCTGACGAATGATGCTGTTCTATAAATAACTTGATGAATTTGAATATGCTGAATTTTAGAGTTCTAGATATTTTTTTGATAGATGTTGTTATTATCACAAACCTGTAAATAGTTTGACTGTGCTGGGGATTTGTTTTTGATTAAGATGTTGCATTTTCTACGGCGTATTCTTTTCTTGTTAATTTTATGGTCAGTTTTGGAAAAATCTAGACTGCCACATTTGTAAATGAGAAATTGTAATAATATTTTGATTTTATTTGTCTGGTCATGCCATAAATATGGTAACCCTTTTTTAACCTCTAAAACTAGTAAAATTATTTGTGGTTTCCACACTATAAGAGTATACCATTTGAAACTCTTGGTTCTGAAATACCCTTAAGATTCATTAATTTTTGTTTATGAATTTGCAAGTGACTGACAGTTTTCTTTTCTATGTAATTGTGTGTGTAAATAAATGTAAATATGGGTAGTAAATAAGTGCAATCAATGGAATGATCCTAATGGGGGAATTACTACATTATTAATAAGAAATTCACAGCAAGTTGGTTCTGCCAAGTAAATATCTTATATAAATCCATATAGTAAAAGTTACCATGTTTGCCTTATTTCTTTGCCATTATTGACTTTGTTTGATGTACATTTTAAATTTGTATATAATATATTTATGATGTTCTTGTTATGGAAAGACAATTTACATATATTAACAGACAATTACAAAAAGACATGTGGAAATCTGACATTCGCCAGTGCGAATGTTGCGAATGTCTGGATCCACCCCTGGTCAAACTAATTGCTTCTAATAACACAGGCCACAAAGAAATTTGTCACCATTCGGCAGACTGCTGTGCGTTTGTATTTTTAATGCTATTAAAAGCAGATTCCAAGGAAATATTTTAGATCATAGCGTCAAAAGGTCACCCCCCCCCTTTTCTCTGTGCTCATTTTCTATAGCGACTAAGCATTTCAACGCAACTTTTTGGTTATGCAATTGGCAAAAAAGGGCAACCTGGTTAACTGCAAAAGAGCATTTTCTTTAGATTATTTTCAAGTGGAGGGGGGCACGTGTCCCCTGTGCTCTCGGTTCCTACGTCTATGCTTTTAAAGAAACCCATTTGCTAGGTACCTGATCTTAACTATTCCATGTAAAGGTTCAAATTTTGTTTATAAGCACTTTGCAAGAACGCTTTGAAAAGACTTTGTGTTAAATCTTTAACCCTCAATCCTCAATCCTAAAGAAATTCAGTATGGAAACAGCGTGACCATTATGTCATAAACATTTTGATTAAAATAATAAATTTCAAACAACGCAAAAATTTAAAATCCACATCAAAAACTGAACTGTTCAATTCTTTTAGTTTATGTCCTTGGTAATAACATCTTAACCAAAAAGTTAGCTTCAAGATATATGTATGAAACATCCCAGCTAGTCCTTGCTACAAGCCAGGATTTTAGCGTAAGTGGAAATATAAAACAGTCTTAGGCACTTTTCCGAAAATCCTGTTCAATTTCTTTTTCTTGAGGTGAGCGTGGGCCCTTTTGAAAAATGCCCCACCACCCAAAAATCCTTAAAAAATGCCCTGCCAGCTAGTCCTTGCTACAAGCCAGGATTTTAGCGTAAGTGGAAATTTAAAACAGTCTTAGGCACTTTTCCGAAAATCCTGTTCAATTTCTTTTTCTTGAGGTGAGCGTGGGCCCTTTTGAAAAATGCCCCACCACCCAAAAATCCTTAAAAAATGCCCTGCCAGCTAGTCCTTGCTACAAGCCAGGATTTTAGCGTAAGTGGAAATTTAAAACAGTCTTAGGCACTTTTCCGAAAATCCTGTTCAATTTCTTTTTCTTGAGGTGAGCGTGGGCCCTTTTGAAAAATGTCCCACCACCCAAAAACCCTTAAAAAATGCCCTGGGCGGATCCGCCTCGGTTATGGTACACACAACAGCACATAATAAGAGTGTTGATAGAATGTCAGGGCAGTCTTTTACGGACACCAGCTGTCGACAAATCCGGTACTCCCTGGAATACTTTTTGGGG